AAAAAAAAACATATTGAGATAAGGAAAGTAAAAAAATCAAACTTTATTATCTGTTTAATATGGAATATGAAAAGCAGGAATCAGAACACTGCATTCATATGGTTAGAACAGGGAACATTAGGCAATGCTAGAAATCTTTATTGTAGATAATCATGATGGTTACAGGTTTGCATGCACTTGACAAAATCATGGAACTATACTCTGAAAGTGTGTGCCTTTTACTGATGTAAATGATAGCTCAATAAAATCTAATCACTAAAAGTAATATATTTTCTTAAATCCATCAGGACTCAATCAGACAAATAATTAGAAATTTATTAGTCTTCACAATAAAAAATTCACAGTAGGCCATGCTGTGATTCAAAAACCCACAAAGAATGTAAATAAGCAAGTCCATCCAATGGCCCTACTCTGCCATCACTGGTGTTTCTATCATTTGAAAGCTAGTTCCCCTCCTGATTACAGAATGACTGTCAGTAGTGAACAGAACCTTTCATGTTCATTAGGAGAGGGAGATTCACTCCCTGATTCCTCTGAGAAGAGTAACCAGTAATTTCTGAACAGGACTAACAATCCATGCTATTCCTAAACAAACCACTAGTATGATTGAGTTGTTGACTTGGATTAATCCATGTTCACTCCAGCATCCCAAGTCACATGAGCTTTAAGAAGGAAAGCGTGACTTTAAACAATATTGAAATATTGTTTTTCAAGAAGAAGGGATGAATAGATAGCAAACATGAACCACAATCCTCAAAGCTGGTTCCTCATTTTAAATTTCCATTTACAACCTTTTTAACTGCTCCAAAGCATTTCATACAAAATTTGATTACACAATATTTTATCAAAACTTTACACTGAACAATTGCTTTAATACAGCTGAACTGTGCCTCATTATTTCATATGTTCTTGAATTATGTCCTTGAGCTCATCTCCAACAATACCTCTAGAATAATGAATGAAAATCCGAACACATGTCCACAAAAAGTGTTGATTCATATGTAGATCTTCATCATTTCACAAACTGATCTTTGAAAATATTTACAAAGTATGTCATTCCAGCCCCATTGAAATGATGTAGCATGATGATTTACTATTACACAACACTCTTCACCATGACTTGGGTCACCTGGATGCCAGAATCTGAAAAAGAGAAAAAGGATGAAGTCATTCTTCCAAGATGGCTTTTATAGGGGTTAGAGTCATAATGGGGACAGAGGCCGGGGTGGATGTTTGTGGAAGTGAGGGTCAGATATGCGCAGACCAACCCTTCCCAATTCTCATGCAGTTTCTCCTCCTCCACCACCTCTGGCATTTATCTTAAAAATTGTACCCTCATCACTCATATTTTCTCATACCTTATTGCACTAAGCATTTGACCAAATGTTACCCAGAGGCTCTCCTCTAAATGTAGGCCCTGATGCCAGGAGACTGTCAATCCATGGGGCTTTCTTATATGATGAAGAGAAGTCAACATGGACCCATGATTCAAAATAGGGTGTTTTTTTTTTCCTTTTTAATGGGATGATTTTGAAATCTGAAGTCTGAAGCCTCCTAGGGTTCTGTGATAATTTCATGAGGTAATAAAATTGATTAACTGTGTGTGCAAAAGGACAAGAGTGAGCTGTTTTAGTTTCAGAACTGATGCTGGAACACTCTAAGCTTCCTGTATGACCCAGGACCCAGAATTCCTTTATCTAATTCTCTACTCATGTGGCACTTTGGTTGTATGGGGTCTGATCAACCCATTGCCAGTGTCCTTGACCCTCTGGATCTGAAAGCCCCACAAAATAAGCAGATTTTTTATCCATATTCTGAGTGAGAAAATCCTAAAGGAAAAGAAAAAGAAAAGAAGTCATAGGCTTTAGATACTCAGCCTGAACTGAGGGTTTTCTTTAATTTGCCAAATCATGCTATGTACTGGTGTTGATGTAAAAGAATGAAGTCCACTCTCATGAGTAAATATAATCCACCAATAAAAATATTTTTAAAAATTTTTTGGTGATTTATTTCTTCTTTATTATTTATTTGTAAAATCTTTCAGATAACAAATAATTTAATACATATACACAGTGCATAATGATCAAATTGCCATAGTTAACATTTCCATCTTCTTTATATCTTCTGAAAGATTTTACTAACATCTAATAATTATACATATTTAAAGGTACAGTGTGATTTTTAACTGAACTCTTTATAATCATACACAAGTGAAAACAAAAGTAGACAGTTCAGGAATAACCAGATGGGGACCTCAGAACTGCAGGTCTTTGAGCACAAAAGGATCAAAGACTTCATCTGTAAGTCTTAATTTTATTAAATATAGAAGAAATTCCTACCTACAATCATAATGAATTTCTATCTCAAATTCAAATTCCCTCTCTTCTTCACTAAGAGAATATTTTTTGCATAAGAAAATTCTTAAAAATTTAATCATTTTCCTTTCAAATCATCATAAAATTTTTTGTAACAAAAATTGAACCCAGGAGCACATAACCACTGAGCCACTAACCATCATTTCTTATATTTCAATTAGGAACAGAGTCTTGCTAAATTGCTTAGTTCCTTGCTACATTGCAAAGGATCGTTCTGAACTTGAGATCCTCCTGCCTTAGCCTCCCAAGCCCCTGGGACTACAAGCATGCACTACAACAACCAGCAATTCACAGATTCTTAAAATATCATTTCTGATTGCTGATTGTCAGTCTCTTGATTTAACTTTGCCTATTAAAGTTAATTCTCCTTTCTGTTAAGCAATTTATAATTCAGAAAACAGTTATATATTGAAATAACCAACTGCTTGTTGTAGACAGAAACATTTTTATCCTTTCAATAAACCCCCAGGTCCTACATGTTGAATGCCACAATACCCCTGGGAGAAGGTTAGTTACACTGAAGAAGGTACAGGTGTGGAATGAGAAGGCTGAGAGATCCTCTCCTATCTGTCTTACGGAAAGTCTTCTGCCACAGCATCAATGTCCCTTCTTAGCAAAGACATGTACAAAAGTCAGACAGGCTCATGACTCCATTGTCTATTAGAAAGTACCTGCTCTTCCTTGCTGTTGATCACCACTAGATGAGCCTCCATTCTAGAGCAGTTCTCCTGACTCTCATTCCAAGATTTTGCATCAGTAGAGAAAAAGTAGCAACTGGAACTAAATGACTTCCAATTCTGTGGGCAACAGTTCCAGACTTTTCCTTTATAGACAAGAAGGGCAAATCAGTGCAATATATAAAAATTTATTTTTAAACTGTGTGTATTATTAAATTTAAAGACCTAGGGAAACAGCATGAAAGCTGTAGCTCCCATATTCACCCAGATATAACAACGAGATCCCTTTCCTCAGTTGCCAAGGAGGCAAGTTGCCTCAAGTGGGCAATAATGTGTCAGGGCCCCTTTCGCCTGCTGGACTGGTATCATGAAAAAAAAGATAAAATATAATGTTTAAATAAAATCTAGACCCCAAAAACCTCAAAATGGAAATATCCAAGTTTCAACACAAAATAATTAATCATACCAAGGCCCAGGAAGTTCTAAATTTTAGTAAAAAAAAATGATAATCAATAGTGGCAAAAAAAGAAAAGCTGGAACATGGCTCAGGGGGTTGGCAGCCCAAGGTTCAATCTCAGGTACCAACACAAACCATCTTAAAGAAACAAAAGAGCGCTGACTCATAATGGCAATGAGGTGGGGGAGGTAATGGAGGAACTTCATATAGGGCAAAGGGGATGGAGGAGAATGGAGGTGGCAATAGGGCAGGAATGATGATGGAATGAGTTAGACATTATTACCTAAGTACATATATGAATACACAAATTTGTGTGAACATACTTTGTGTGTAATCAGTGACTTGAAAAATTGTGTTCTATATGTGTAATATACATAAATTGCATTCTGCCATCATGTGTAAAAAATTAGGTTGAATAAATAAATTTTAAAAAAGAAAAAAGTAGACTCAATAAAAAAGATGTAAAAATGGAAATTTTATCACTGAAAAATTTAATGACCTTTTAAAAGCTTAGCAGACTTCCTTTGGCCTCCATCTGCCATTCCTTCCTGAGTCTTCAGCATGAAAGTTACCCAGATCAAATTTTGGACTTATCAACACCCCACATTTCCATGTGTCAAGTTCTTAAAATAAATATCCATATTCATATTGCTTCTGTTTCTCTAGAGAGCACAAACATAATACACCACCCTAATAAATGGGAGCATGACTCCTCCATCATACAATATTAATTGCATGTAGCAATCTCCTAATGAACTATATAGTGTGGGTAGGAGAGGGAAAAGTAGCTTCACAATGAGAAATCTGACAAACACTACCTCAGCTGATCAAGTTCAGCATCGATAGTCAACATTCTCTTTAATAATATATACTCTGGAACTAATGTGATGAATAGCATTTTATATCTTTGACCTTCCTCCCCCAAACAAATAACCCCTCATAATCATTAGAAAAACTTCAAATTTTAACACAGAGACAACCAATAATATAGAAATGGTATACCCCTAAATTGTCAAAGTCATCTAACAAGAAAGATCTGAAAAAAAAATATTATAGCAAAGAGGAAACTAAAGAGATATGACAAATAAATGGAATGTGGGGGACTTCAGGAATTCTAGTATAGAAAAAAGAACAAGAGTTAAAAATTGGGAAAATCAAGAATGTTGGGCTAAGGAAGTAGCTCGGTGATAGAGACGTGCCTAGCATGTGTGAAACCCTGAATTCAATTCCTAGTACTAAAGGGGAAAAAATCATGAATATTGGTTCATTCGTTGTAACAAATGTCTTTACTTAGGAATAGGATAATAATAATGGCCACTGTGTGTGCAAGGTAGGGTTAAAATAGAATCTTTTAATATCATCTGCTCAACTTTTCTGTAAATTTAAAAATGTCTTTAAAACACTTCGTTTAAAGGTAAAAAAAAAATTCTCATTCACCATGATATATTCATCTTCATTTTCACCAAATTGTTTGACTAACATGAGAAAAACACTAGCCTTGAAGAAACCTCAGAAAAAAGAACACTCTGAAGAAATACAATAACAATATATTCTTTTTCCAAATTGAGCTTCACATGGACAATACTCAATATCTGTATTAGAATGTTAGATTCTGGACTGGGGCTGTGGCTCAGTGGTACAGTGCCTGCCTTGCACATGTGAGGCACTGGGGTTTTTCCTCAGCACTACACAGAAATAAATAAATAAAGATATTTTGTTTGTCTATAACTATAAAAAGATTTTTTAAAAAGAATGTTAGATTCTACGAAACTGTACACTTGTAGATTAGAATAACATGAGACTCCACTTCTTAGTATGTTCTACCTAAAAATCATAAATACTGATTTGGGAATCTTACATACTACAATCAGCAACTGAATTCTAGGCACATGAAGTTTTACCTTCCCTGGATGAATTCATTCTTACACACTCCAAATGTGTGTAACTCATTTTTTATAAATCTTTTATTATTTTTGTCTTCAAATACCTGAGAATTTTTTTGAAAGAAATCTGGAAAATAGAACATAAACCAATCATTTTCTGGTAGCATTAGGTCGTTGCTCTTTACATTACTTTCTTGCACTCTATAGACAAAAATCTACACATGTCCAAATTACCCAGTTGGACAGAGCCTGACAGAAAAAGTTTCCCCATGACCCCTCAGTCAATAGAATCCTAATCATACTGCTTTGGAAATATTAGGTATCTCCAGGAATAACTAAAAGATGAGGAGTTGAAAGATGACATGAAAGTACCATCAAGTTGGGATCTGAAGGATGTTATCCATAGTCTCCTTTAAGAGTTAACCCAAGATGCAAACAAAGGCTAAACTTTGTGGGATGGGAGTGGAAGTTATTTAAGGAAGTACACAACCTGGGACTTTGGGGAAAGGAATAATTTGCTAATTTTAACCAATTGTGGGTGATCTTAAAGATTGATGAAGAGGACACTGTTCTTCATCTCTTTTGTGTGTCTCTCCCAATTTAGAACTAACTCACTCCCACTTCTAGAAATTCAATTTTCTGGGCTGCAGTGGTATCTCAGTATCACGGCACTTACCTAGAATACACAAGGCCCTGGGTTAATAAACACTACTGCTAGAAATTAAATTTCCTCTTTAACCTCCTATTTATTCTTTGATCCACTTGATTCTGGCTATGGCTTCCATCATTTCATTAAACCATGCATGAAATGGACCATCAATAATTTACTAGAATGATTTATTAGTCATTTTCTAATGGCCTCTTGCAATCATTCACCCAGGTCTTCCTCCTTAGCTCTTGGTACACTGTTCTCTCCTGTTCCTGCCTCACCTTTCTTACTGCTGCTTATTATCCTCTTCCATAAGCTCTTTTCCTCTAATCACCATGTTAAAAAAATGTACTATTTCCAAGAGTTCTATCCTAATTCCTATTTCTAGTTTAAAATTCTCTTCTGGAGTGATACCATAATTCCTATGCTGAAACTTGCTATCATTATGTAAATGACTTTTAAACTTCTAGACCTCTCTCCTGAAATCCAGACAAATGTGCCTCCCACTGGACATGTACATTGTGAGTTAACTTTGTGCTCAAAATGTAAATAATCATCTTTCAAAACAAACTCATTATTCATCCTATACTGCCTACACCTTTGAACAGCTTCTTCACTGCTGAGTTTACAAGGTCAGGATATTATATTCACACTTAACTTCTCTGGGTTTTTAATCCCCAATATTCATCAAGCCTTGGCTGCCTTGATTGTATCTTCTTTACCCTTCAAAGCTTACCTGTCCTCTCTTTCTTCACTAACAGTATCCTTAAATGAGACTCTCAATGTTTTCCAATGGGATGATGAATTAGCATCTCTTTGGTGCATTATAATTATAATAATAATAGGATGCACTGTTACATAGTCATATACACACATAACATTATTTGGTCATTTTCATTTCCCAGTACCTCCCCATTCCCTTCCCTCTTCTGTCACCCTGGTCGCCTGCCTCTACTCTACTACTTTTGCCTCAATTTTCATGAGACCTGACCCCTTTTTCTCTTTTTGCTCCCAAATTATCATATATGAAAGAAGACATACAACCAATGACTTTCTTTGTCTGGTTTATCTCATTTAACACAGTGCTGTATACTTATGTACGTTTTCTAGAAAATAACGTCTCTCCTTACCTTCACCTTTGTCCTCCTAAGTCCATCTTCACACCTCAGTAAAAGAATGCCACCTTAAGTCAAATTTGATTATGTCAAATCCCTGCTCAAAATTCCGCAATGTCTCCACACTCACTGACAGACTGAAAAATTGGCCTCAATGTTCCACCCTTCTTAGATTTACACCCCTTAGCATTGTGACTTTGTAGCTTCTCCAATCAAGAAGTAGAACCCATAAGATTCTCCAATAAAGAATCTGTTTCTTCACCAATAGAATATGAGCTGCCTTTAAGACTCCATTTGATCAACAGAATGTGCAAAAGCAACCAGGATCGTTCCAATTTTAAACTTTAACAAGCCTTTTTTTTCTTTCACCCTCTATCATGGAAGTCTGAAATTGGCTTGTACAAAAACATTAGTGTATGTGAAGTCAAATAACACTATCCTTATGCATGCTATTAAGGAAATACAGATGCGTTCTCACACAGAATTTAATATAGAACTGACGATCCATAGATTTCATTCTGTAGCACCAGCCCAGGCTAGCCTGATGAATAATGAGAGGACTATGGTAAAACTGTTCCTTTCATTCCAGCTCACATGCTCTTCTTCAGAAGCCGAGCTGCCCGTGTTGGGTCCCCAACATCATATGCATGAGTGAATTCAGCTAGGACCAAAGAAAATACCCAATTGAGCCAGTCTAAATATCCAGACCACAGATACATGAGCTAAACAAATATCTGTTTCAATTCACTGTTTTAGGCTTGTTTATTAAGTAGCAAAGGATATCTTATCATATAATCTTTAGGGAAAAATTTTAAAAAATTTTTATAATAGTGTATCACCTTCTTCAGGATCTAAATTCTGTTTCTGTCTGCCACCTACAACTTCATTTCAAAGTTTTTCACATCGCACTATATTTTCCCAGTCAGGCATATTTATATTTCCTCCAAATAATTCCATGTTGTAATGACTAACATATAATATATCTATGTCATGTGGTAGTAACAGGGGCAGATGTCTTCTCCTTCAGGAAACCTATCTCAGCTTTCTGTGCTCACTTCTTACCTGCAAAATACTTCCCATCTCATGTTGTAAACACTGGTTATATTGACTATTCTATTAATATCTTGAGAGCAGTGGCTGTGGCTATTTCTGGATTCTCTCACACGGTGCCTAGCAAACAATATGTATGGCCATTGTTACTTATCAAATTACCAAATTAATAAATCAAATATTTACTCTAGTATATGCTAAGTTTTATGACTTTTGAAAGCTTGATAAACTCTGAAATATAACATATAACATATGCATAAATCAACCTATTTGTTAAATTGACATTTCCTGAGATCTCACAATGGGAAAGACAGAAATTATTAGAAGAAAATTCCCTGGGGTACTCTTCCTGGGACATTTCTTCCATCCCCTTAATGTCCACCTGCTCATCCAAAAATACAAGTGTCTGTGAAACCAAATTAGGCTAGCCTTATAAATGCTATTAAGGAAATATAGATGTTTCCTTACACAGAATCTAATATAGAATTGATGACCCATAGATTTTATTCTGTGACACCAACCCATACACCTATACCTACTCTTCAAATTCTCTCAGTGAACATAAATTCCATGATTTTTGCAAAAGCAAAGTTCCTAGTGAATTCTCAGGAACTCCAACCCATGTGCCTCCAATATAAAATTTATTATTCAAATGCCTGGTTCATTGTGAAATGTCAGTTTCTAATGAATGGCTTCTATTCACTAAAGGCAGGAATTAATACCTGACTCCATTGGCATACTTACTGATAAAAGAGGCAGACAGTAAGATTTCCTTAATCAGGAAAAGTATCAACAACAAGGCAAGAAGAAGCTTGGAAAAACCAAAATGACTCTGGTGAGGAATGTTGTTTTCTCTGGGATCTGAAGGATAAAAAAAATTAGATTCATCAGTAATTAATTCAATTTTTATTTCCAGTTCCTCCTCTATGAGTTGGCTTTTTCTCACTGTGACCAAAATATCTGAAAAGAACAACATAGAATATAAAAAGATTATTTTGTGTTCATGGTTTCAGAAGTTATTTTGGATTCATGGCTTCAGTCCATGGTCAGTCTTCTCCATTGCTCTGGGCCTGAGAAGAGCAGAACATCATGGAAGAAGGGTGTAGTGGAGGAATGTGTTCAGCTCAAGATAGGCAGAAAGCAGAAGGAGCAAGTAAGGAGCCAGAGAAAAAATATAATCCACTGAGGAATGATGTTGATCAAATTATATTGTCATATCATGTACATGTATGAATATGTAACATTGAATCCCACTAGTGTATATAATTATAATCTACCCATTAAAATATGTAAATAAAAAGTGTATAATCAAAGGGCATGCCCCAGTGACCTAATTTCTTCAACCACACCACACCTGATTACCAAACAGTAATCATTCTAATTATCAATCCATCAATATGTTGATTAATCCACTGATTACTTAATGGTTCTCATAACTATTTTATCTCCAAATGTTCCCGAATTGCCACATAAGCTTTTCAGGGCACATATCACATTCACAACATAATATTCTGCCCCTGATCTCCAAAACTTCATGTCTATCTCACAATGGAAAAACCATTTAGCCCATCTCCAAGAATCCTCATAGTTTTCAAAGTTCCAACATTTTCCAATAGACCAAGTCCAAAGTCACCTCTGAGACTCAAGACAAAACTGTGTTGTGAGCCTCTGTAAAAATCAAAAGTAAGTTATGTTAAGTTGTTTTGAGGTGTCTAAGGTAACAGAGCACCAGACAACCCAAGTGCAAGAAAGAACAAACAATCAGACACCAACAGACAAGCAAAGATGGTGCCTCATAACCACCTGTCAATCAGTGGAATCTCCTGACTAATCATGGAAGGACATGGACCTCAGCAAGATACCCTGACCAACCCCAGGAGAACAAGGGACACTAGAAACCTCCCTTTCCTGTCTCAAGCCCTCCATTTGTGCCCTAAGCCCAATAAAATTACAATCTGGCTGATCCTGGGCACTATTCTCTCCTGGACCCGCTCTGTTAGACTGGAGGGTCTCTCCCAGGAGCAAATCTCAATAAAGCCTTGTTCAGCAGCTTTTAATCTGCTTCCTTTTGGTCACTGGTGCCTGACCTCACATCTGGTGCCAAAATCTGGGAGGACTTTTCAGCCTCCCCATAAGGAGATCCCTCCTCAACCCATAGGAGTTTAGGTCCACCCTCTCCTTCAAATGAACCAGGAAATTTCTAAGCTGCTCTTTTTTTCCTCTCCTTTCATACAGGAAAACAGGATTGGGGTAAATTTCCTTATTACTTCTGATCTTCCAGCCCCTCTCGGTTCTGGGGGGTCTATCTGTAAGTCACGCACATGCCATAGACCCCCACCTGTTCTACTGAAGGCCCTGGGAACTGTGGAGATGTCTCCAGTCCTTGTTTGGGCCCACGGTGTGTTGCAGGAACAACTCAACCCCTACCCATCCCTTATCTGTCTCTCAGGTGAGTGTAATAAGAACTTTGGATGCCTTTTGTTGCTCCCACTCACCCCTGAGGGTGCCAGAAAGTCACAGGAAACACTGAGTCCTCCTTAGACCCCAAAACTCCTTTGGGTTGTCTATATTCCAATTTTTCCAAATTAAGACTCACTCAAGACCTTTGCTGTAAGCATCTGATCTTTTACTCCACTGTGGCCTGGCCCCAGACTTAGACAATGGGTCAAAATGGTCCTCAGGAGGAACTTTTGATTTTCAAATCCTTACCAATTTGGACAATTTCTGTTGCCAGACAGGGAAGTGAGCAGAAGTCCCTTATGTTCAGGCTTTTTGAAATTTGCTCCCATCCCACTCTCTGCTCTACCAGTTCTACTGCTCAAGTCTTCCTTGCTAGGGAAAATCTCAAACCCCTTTCCCATTGATCTTCTACATCTCCTTCCTCATTCTCAGATGCATCCAAGCTGCTCTCAGCCCCACCTTCCTGTCTTTCTCCTCCCTACCCAGGCAAATCCTCTTTTTCCTCCCTTCTCACACTTTCACCCTCCCCTCGTCCTGCTACCACAGCTCCTCCTACCCTGCTCCAAAACCCTCCACCTCCATCCTTCTTCCCCTCCTCTCCCTCCTCCTCTCCAACAGTTATAATACCTCCACCCCTCTCTTCTACTGATACAACCCTTACCTCTCCAACCTGGATCCCTCCACACACTCACTCCTCTCTTCTCCTTTCAATGCCCACATCCAGTCCCATCAGGCCCTTTACCAGCTAACCCAAAGCTCCTTTGTCCTCTCAGGGAAGTGTCTGGCATCAAAGGGATTACCAGAGTACACATCCCATTCTCACTTCAGGATCTTTCCCAGATTGAAAAGTGCCTTGGGTCCTTCTCTGCTGACTCTTCTACTTATATTAAGGAATTCCTATACCTCTCGCAGGCTTATGATCTTACCTGGCATGATGATGTCTATGTCGTTCTCTCCTCCACCCTTACACAAGATGAACGAACCTGCATCCTGCAGGCTGTACGAGATCATGCTGATCAAATTTATTTAACACATATAACTCTCCCCTCAGGTGCAGCATCTATTCCCCTAATTGAACCCAAATGGGACTACCAAGATGGCCAACAACGTCACCATCACTGCACTCACATGGTCCAATATCTTACAGCAGGCTGGAGGAGGTTTCCAATAAGGTTGTTAACTCTAATAAGCTGAGAGAAATCATGAAGGATCCAGATGAAAATCCATCCTGATTTCTCAACCGCCTTACAGAGGCCTCACTAAATATACTAAGCTGAATCCTGATTCTCCCTCTAAGGCTACAGTGTTAGTAACACATTTCATCACTCAATCAGCCTATGATATAAGAAAAAAGCTCAAACAAGCTGAGGAGTGCCCTCAGACCCTTATCTGAAATCTGGTGCAAATGGCCTTTAAAGTCTATAATGCCTGTGAGGAATCAGCTGAACTAGCTAGGCAGTCTCCATTGCAGGAAAAGATAACACTCCAAACCCAGGCCGTGGAAGTGGCCCTGAGGCCTATGGCTCCAATGAAAGCTTCACAAGGGAACCAGCATTCCTCTCTACCAGGGGCTTGCTTCAAATGTGGATGCAAAAGTCACTGAGCTCTGGGCTGGGGATGTGGCTCAAGCGGTAGCGCGCTTGCCTAGCATGCGTGCGGCCCGGGTTTGATTCTTAGCACCACATACAAACAACGATGTTGTGTCCGCCAAGAACTAAGAAAAAAATAAATAAATGTTAAAATTCTCTCTCTCTCTGTCCCCCTCTGTCTCTCACTCTCTTTAAAAAAAAAAAGCTAAAAACAGCACAACACTGGGGTAGAAAAAAATAAAAACTCACAGTGCTATTGGCTACCTCTTGCTGAGGCGGACTTGTGACCCAAGACCATAGCAAAAAAACACAGGTGCTGTT